CAGAAAGGGGCGGGACTTAGGAATCGAACCTGCTGGTGTGGCGTATGAAACGGTGTCTGGTGTGTGGAAGCAGCTGATCCTCCTCGAGACCAGAAAGGATCCAGCTGCACTTTGAAATATGAACATTGTCTCAGATTTATAGACCATCTGCAGATGTTTACAGCTCAGGAAACAGATGAAGGGCTAACTGTCCACATTATCTAAACTCTCCCCTTCAACTGATGCTGAAAAGATGGAGGATCGTCTGTCACCAGTCTGCTGTCATCTCTCTCTCTCTCTCTATCTCAGGCCAATTAACCCTGTCTGCATACCTGTCTCTCTTATCTGTCTGCTCGTCTTTCTTCCTCAGTGTACGTCTGCCTGTCTTTCTGTCCGTCACACTTCCTGCCTCTTCTATCCACTCGTATTACCTCGTTGACTCTGGTGTAGACTGATGATTTAAATCCTGATGTTTGATGATAGCACTCCTTCATAAAACATGTAAATTCTGGTGTGATTGAACTCCTTATAGTATGTTGTGTTGAGTGTTTTCTTTGTTTTGTTGTCCAGATAAATGAATAGATGCAGAATATTGGAAATGTGGCAATTCTTTGTGTTTTTAGTTATTTAAATACAAAAAAACCTTTGACCCTCTTTTAATCACTTACTCAAGTTTGATTTTGTTTGTCAGGCAGTAAGCCTAAACTAGGTAACAGGTCATTTCAGTATATTGTCTGTTTATTTCAAGCTTTCTTGTAGCCTAATGTGATCTTTATTACCTTAATTTTTGGTGTCTGCGTTTCCAAACCACCAACATTTTACCTCGAGACCAACGAACCTCTAGTTCTTAAAAACTAGCTGCAACAGTTCTCTTTAACACTTTATTATAACTGATGTTAATGCCTTCTAGGGGTTTGTAAGTTCAGGCAAAGAAAAAACAACTATTATCTCCAAAAAACAACAAAATTGGCTGATATTCTTTCACATCCATGCTGAATGTTCTGATGTTCTTTTTGAGCAGAGCTGAAGTGAAGGTGTTTTTGCCGTTGCACAGCAGTGTGGTCAAAGGGCTGACAGATGCATCACTGCTGGTATAAACCAACAGCGACAGTCCGGCAGGTGTTTGTAAAGCTTGTCTGGATTTAGTCTCTGAGCTGCTTACTGACTGATGTTTGTGTTGGAATGTGGGCACAGCGAGGATTAGCTGGGTAATCCCTGACCAGAACAACGGTAATCCTCAACCTCATCCCTCACACCTCTGGACACGGACCCCTTCAGACGCTGCTCAGGACGGGATATACGTATCTGTGTGTGCTCAGTGTGCACTGAGACGTAGAATCAACTCCTTCTCATAAAGAGAAACAGCCAAAATAACCTTGTCGTACTTTTAGCATTTTATAAAAGAAGTGTTGTTGTTTTTTTTCATTTTCCATTAATAACCAGAGATGTCAGTCTGTGTTTAGTTCTGTCTGCTAAGAGAATAACATGAAACTGTTTGAAACACTTGTTTCCACTGTACTGACGTCTCCTCACATTGACTGAAATATAAAAACACTCTTCTAAAGACTTCAGTTAAAGATCTATTGTCAGAAATTGAATATTATATTCATAGGGTGTGTTATCATTCGTGTGTAATCTCCTGAATATAGGAATCATTGTGTTTGAGTTAGGGCTTCCCCTAACAGTAATTATGTTTGTTAGCACTTCCAGTTGTTTGTGCAATCTGTGAATTTAAACCAATCAGATTAATGAACCATATAACATAGTCAAACTCTTACTGAAGTCAGTCAGGAGAAACATTTCACAAGTCTTCAGTGTCGTTCTTCTTTCTTTGAACAAATACTCTCCAGTTCTGATAAAACTGAGGCTAGCAGCATCTACGCTAACCTCTTTCACAGCCGCCATCGCTCTGTAACGAACAGCGTCTCCTCGCTGCGTCACACCCCCAGCGCTGCCAGTACTTTCTTAAAGGACACTGAGGGGTTCGGTACCACTGTGGTTTGGTCTCAAATGCACAGATTGCAAGGTTAGATGTTGTGCCGGCAAACACTTGTGAACTTTTAATGTCCACATGCAAATGTGTGTCTAGTAATGTCCTTCATCTGGACACCTCATTGTGCATTTTCACATATTCAACTACAGAACAGCACAGTGACTGGTGGTCCCATTGGGAGCTGATTTATAGCTTAGTATTTAAGGTGTGTATTAACACCTGTTGTCTGTGTGTCCCTCCCGCTCTGCCGTACAGTGTCTGGAGTTCGGGGAGGGCTCGGTGAAGGGGGACATGTGTGAGGATCTGTGTGTGCTCGGCCTGGTGGAGTACAAGCGCTGCCTGTACTACGAGAATGGGAAGAAGGTGATCGAGGCGCGCTGGAGAGGAAACCCCGTCATCCTCAAGTCCAAACTGGAGAATTTCTCCTCCTACGAGCCACTGGGAATACTGGACTACCAGGTGACGTCTGTCTTTGAACTTTTAGTTTTGGTCCAGTGACGCTCGACTTAGCTCCAAATCAAAGTACATTGTAAATAATTTACAATAATTGCTCCCCATTGATTTTCTTTCTCCAACAGGACACAGCCGAGGAGCTCTCCCCTCTCGATGTGGTTTTCTACGCCACTCTGGAAGTAAGTCACACTGCATCAGGAATTTGGTGTCATGTTTTCGACATGTTCTCCTTAATTGTTGAAATCACAACTTCTTGGAGGGACTTTACACAGGATTTACTCTGATGTGTGTAAAGTACATTTTTAAACATTTCTGCGTACCAAAGTTTCCTCTCATTTGATCTCAGGTGCGAAACTCTCTGGGCCTGGCTGAGGAAGACGAGGATGAGGAAGGAGGAGGAGGAGGAGGAGGAGGAGGAGGAGGAAATAACAGCTATCTGGCCAAACTTTGGGGGAAGAAGCTGAAAAACAGAGACAAGAGTTACTCCAGAGCGGAGCTGACCTCTCTGTGGTCCCTGCTGCAGCAGGAGGAGTACACCTTTCTCAGGTAAGAGTCTATATCTCTATAGAGAGTATATCAGGATATATCACACAGTTTTACAACTTTTAAAGTCAGATTTTAACACAGCGAGGATAGAAGAAGGTGTGCTTCAAAGAGATTTGGTCAGTTGGCGCCGGGGCGTCAGATATGGAGAAGCTAAATTATTCTGAAGATTCATGCTAAGAACTTCACATGAATCTTACTCAACTGTGAGCATGGACTCAAAATTAACATTCATTTATCCAGAGCTCACAGAGGATCTCAGTCGTACATCTCATACAAATATAGCGCTGACCAATAATATATAATACTGAGTTGTCCTAAAACTGCACATTAATCTACCCAAACCACAACAGCTGCAGATATTAATGCAGCTTAAAAGCAAGAGAGAGTAACACAGCCGAGGTGTGTCTGATAAGAGACCTGCCCTCCATATTCATTCTACAGTATCAGGGAAATAAAATGAAGACCATATGGAGTAGAGAAGAAAATATGATGTTCTGTATTCATGCAAAAGTTGAAAGTTCTCTCGTATTGTCCTCGAAAATGTAAGGACCTCTGTGGGCAGAGCTGGAGGACGAAAAGAGAAAGACATCAGCTTTGTTTTCAGTCTGAGGGCACAGACGCTCAGACAGCCCAACAGGCTGGAAGCCAAAACTCCACCGAGTCCAAAAATAAAAGCGACGAGGCGAGGTGACCTGTGCTGCTGCTTATCTGGAGGCCTGCAGACAGAGCTGCGGTGACAAATGGAGTTAAGGATGTAAAAAAAGAACTGTGTTTGTGTGTGTTTGAGTGTGTGTGCGGTAGATGGGAGGAGGCTGGATGACAACACAGAGGGGAATAACGCACTCGTGTGGATTAGTCTGACCTGTACGGGGTGTGCTATTAGCTCATACACCAATCTACTGTAGCCTGCAGCTCATACAAAGTGTTTTCCAGTTAGAAAATGAGGCTTGTTACTCTAAACTGTGTTAAGGTAAATAATAAAAGCAGTTAGTTGATGACGCAGTAAAAGTAAAAATGTGCTTCCATTGTTGCTTTGAGACAAATGCTAACGACAGCAAGCTAACAATGCGAACATACTGATTGATGGATTTAAGTTAACACAAATAAATCCTCCAAAGAAATCGTAGTAGTCAGTAGGATTCATCCTCTGAGCACCATGAATTCCTGGTCCTGACTGAAACACTGAATTGCTTGCTTGCACAAAGTGGTGAACTGATTAGCATATCTAGAGCTATGCTGCTAGCATTGCTAAAACTCTGAGCCCACAACAATATGAAAGTGGGATAATTTCATCCTGTGTAGCTTCTCAGAAAGGTTTTGATGTTTGCACCAAAATCTGGCTGCAGTGACAGAAATACATCATCACATTTCAACCTCAAGGATAAAGAATCGACACTCTATAAAATACCACATTATCACTCTCACTTTGTCCCGTTGGCCATTAAGACCGTTATCATTCTCCCGTCCTCTGTTCTCCAGAGTGCTGCAGGACCTCAGCACCCACGTGGCCAAGGTGTTGGGCTCCTGTGGTCATTTCTACGCCGTGGAGTACCTGTCTGCCGGCCACGCCTGGGACCAGAACATCTTCTCCCTGGAGGAGGTAGCTGTTTCTGGGCTGCAGGGGGCGCGGGGGAGGTGGACCGCCAGGGAGATGGTGCATCGCATCGCGCTGAGTTTTCTGGACATGGTGTGGCACTTTGACAATGACTTCACCCACAAACTGCACCTCTGCGACATCAAACCAGAGAACTTTGCCATCAGGAAGGACCTGACGGTGAGATTTTTTCTGAGTTTAGATTCACTTTAAGGCAGTTTGGTGACCTTCGGCTCCAGAATGACTCACAATGGAAAACACAGAGCACGTCTGAATGTTTTCTGTGATTGTAATGAACATTGACAGAATAGAATAAGAGCAAGGGTGCTGGGAGAAAAGAGATAAAAGGATGTATTTTTAAAAAAGCTATTAGAGAGTGGAGATGGAGTGGAGGACTGTGGATTACGTGAGGTTTTTCTTGAAGAGATGTGTTTTCAGGCAGAAGCAGAAGGTGTGACCCTGCAGCTGGGAATAAGAAGGTCATTCTGTATATAACACGCACACAAATCTTCATTCACCTTTTGAAACAGTCCGTGAGGAGCTCGGCAGTTCAGGGAGAACCCTTCACCTTAAAGTCCTCCGACAAGTTAGAAAAGGTCATCTGCTATATAAATCTCTGCATTATTAATGCACTAACTCTACTTAAAAAGCACATTTAATTTACTCGTTAGAGGCCAGATACCTTATGATACTTTATTACTTTATGTCGTGTAGAACTCGCTCTGCTCAGCTCCCCATTCTTTGTTGGAGATTAAAAAAACACTTTAAACTCAGACTGGAAAAACGTCTGCCTGCCCTCCATTTTATAATGTTGAGTTGATCACAAACTAAAGATGACGAGACTACTGAGCACCAGCTGACTGGTTTACCACACAATGGTACACAAACTCTGGTTTGATGGAAATAAATCCCTTATTCACTGACGTAGATAAGCAGCAGTTTCAGTCGCTCTACTCAGCTGCACAAGGAGCATGCTTGAAAATAAAGTCACATTTATAAACAAGAATGGAGAGCAAAAGAGGCCGAAATGCAATGCAACATGTGCCTACATTCATGTGCAGATACCTGTTTACAGCGATCTGGAATGCGGTTATCTCGTGTCTCAAGTTTATAGTCGGACTCTAAACAACGACCAGCACACAGAGGAAGAAGTATCGTCAGACGACAGCGATGGGTTGCCAGATTGAAAATAAAGCTACATGTTTTCTTTGAGGTGGAGCCGAACATTAATCACCTGTAATCAAACATCCTTCATTATTAATCTGTAATATGAAAATGAAAGTTGCTTATTTTAGCTCTTAAAATAAAAGCCAAAGAAAGGTTTTCCTTCAGTCATAAATCAGAGCAGAGTTTAAATGCGTCACCGGTGTCTGGACAGAGCAGCTCTGGGAAAGTCAAGCAAACGTCTGCAGTTGTTTTCTCAGCATTATCAGATGGTTTTACAGTTTACGCAGCAGACTGTCATCATTCAACACCATGTCAGGTCTGTACTGGACTCCAGCCAAAGATCACAACTGAATCTAAACTGTTTTATCTCTCACACATCAGACTCATGATTAGTGGAAAATGAGCAGTTAAAAGAGAAAAAACCCAGTAAACGCAGAGCCAGAATGTGGTGTTTGTTGCTCTAACAAATGTCAAGTAAACCAGAGGCTCATTATTGTTCTTATGGTATTAGCAGGCTCAGTCCTATAAAAGTGTTGACATGGAACAGATTTAACAAGTCCCTGTTTATAATGCCAACACTGTTAAATGTTGCTGTAAAACCAGAGCTGCTGTAAGGTCCGCCACTGCAGCAGCTACAGCTGAGTGTTTGTTTCCACGGATTTTATAGACAAAACCTGATGTTAAAAACTCTAAAATCTAATAATTAAAGTGATACGGAAATCAAGGTGCTGTTTGCTTCCTCATATTTATGTATTTCCTCTAAAAAACTATCAGTTCGGTAATGTACCGAGGTGTCAGCTAACGTTAGCTGCACGAGCAAAGGATCGACAACCAATCAAAGCCTGATATATCCTCTTATACCCGGCTGACGTTGTGTCTCTGTGCTGCCCCCTGCAGGTAGTAGCGATCGACGTGGACATGGCGTTCTTTGAGCCGAAGATGAGGGACATCCTGGACCAGAACTGCAGCAGCGACGACGACTGTAACTTCTTCGACTGCTCGTCCAGGTGTAACCTGAACAAACGCCGGTGCAGCCCCCGCCGTCGCAACAGCAACCTGCAGGTGAGGCTGAGACGGGCCGCGAACACGGGTTACGTTAGAAATGTGCAGTTTGGGTCGGCAGCTTTTAGAAACTGCCAGATGCTAACGTGCATTTGCTGGGCAATTAGCATAATTAGCATTAATTAGAATAATCACCTGTATGGATTATTACAATATTGGAAGGGTTTCTTTACATTTTCAAACATTTAAATTCATTTTGAGTCAACATTGAGGTTATTAAATATTATGTTATAAACTTCTTATTATATAATAGTTATTATATTTTCTTATCTCACTGTAAAGGATAGAGATACATCTAATCTAGAGAAATTCATAAAAGACAGTTGATGATTGAGTATTTTTAGTTTTGTTGACACATCATTTAAATAAATAATTGTGGAAAATAAAGAAAAAGCACAAATAAAAAAGTGTAAAATACTCATCATTTTAATGAAGCAAAAGATATCAATAACTGTATAATAATAAAAACCATCAATCCAGGCTCATTTGTTGCATTTTATATCCAAAAACATTGATTCAAATGCTTCTTTTATCCTTTAATTACAGTTCTGATTAATTTATTGGAACCTATCTGTAGTGTACTGCATATTATTTTAATATTATTTTAAAAACTTTTCCACACACTGTCACAGCTACTTTGCACTATTTATCTTACAGTTTATATATCCTATTTATTCATATTTATATATTCATCTATAAGTTTATTTTATTGTTATTCATCACTCTTTTCCTCTGTTTTTGACTCTTCAATTTCTCCGACGTTGGATCAGTAAACTTATCTGAGAGACAGTCTTTAGCAACCAGCTCCGTCCTGGTCTGAATGGGGGTCAGTCAGTCTCCCCCGTGTCCCCTCACCCGCCACCTCTCACACTATACATGTCACCACGAGGCCTCATGCAGCTGCTCCCTCTTCAATATTTTAAATATGCTGAAAGAGATTTCTAGCAGAATTTGAGAGACTAGAAGAGGGTTTTTTTTGATAACTGACAAACTCTTTAAAGTTTGTTCAGATCATTTATTTTGGTTTTGCACTAAATTTGCACTCGTCTTTGCAAACGTGTGTATGAACAACAAAATATCATGAACACATTGTGAATCATGTCAACGAAGTTTGTTACTTTTTTAAATTCTTTTCTTTTAAATGTTCATTCACTCCTCGTTTATTTCAGCAACCTCTTTAAATACTCACGAGGCATTTTACATGATGAATAAAGTATTTAAAATGTTCATATTTTACTATTTATGGGCAAATAAATCAATAAATCAAATGATTAAATTCACAAAAGATTATTATTTATTTTTTAATTATTATTATATTATTATTTTTTTTGCTTATACTGAATTGTAAAATCCAAATTCAATCATTATTTTGGAAAGATGGTTCAAAATTCAGCTGTTTCTAATAAAAAAAGGAATTGTAATTTCAAATTATCAGTTTGATTTGTAAAATGTGTCCAGACTATAACTTAGTAAGTCGACTTTTTAATTTATGCTTAGAGTGGAGAACAAGTGAACCATTTTTTGGTGTCTGGTCGAGTATTCAATCTTTTAGGAAGGTGGCTCAACATTTTTATATAAAAAAAGAATTATAATTTAGTTTAATTTGTTGTTCAAATGATCACGTGACATTTTTAGAAAATGTAAAATTATAAAAGAACTCTATATAATTAAATATAAATATAACTATATAATGCACAACTGCTTTTCTAAAAAAATAATAAAAAAAACAAGAAAGTCAGATTTGAGTTCTCTGCACTCTTCTGTCTGTGAACTTTGACCTTTTTTGTTATCTGTGAAGAGGTTTTTCTCTCCTGTTGCTCAGGTAGAAAATATAAACTGAGGCCTCGACAGTCTCGCCGGCGTGCGTCCGCCTTGGCTCTAAACGAGGTGGCTGATAAATGACAGGGTTGTCTGTTTCTCAAGAATTCTGGGTAATCCATCTTTCACAGCGTTCAGTTACGTGTGCGGTAAAGATATAAAGTGTGTGGAATGATAATTATTGATCTGAGGACAGGAGGCTTGAACCCGCTGACATATCGTGTTTCTGAATCCACTACGAAGAGATATTTTATTAGAAATTTGCATAAACATTTAATACATTTTTATTATATAGTTTTTATGTTTTCTTATTTCACTGTACAGGAAGGAGAGATAAATGTGATCTTTCTCCACCTAAAAATCTAGAGAAATAAATATATGAGTTGGTTTTGTTGCTTCAAATTTGAAAGAAGTTAAACAAATAAAAGTCAATTTATTCTTATTTTTGACTTCATAAAAAAATCCTCCTCGTCTTCAGTACATTTCAGTATCGACAGATCAATCAAACATTGTCAAAATTGATTGTTTAAGGTTTAAAATACTAATTTTAACTATAAGGAAAATATAATTTGTAAATAACTGTAAATCATTATTAATCCAGGCTCATTTATTGCATTTTATATTTTAAAAAAACATTGATTCAAAGGCTCTTTTTATTCTTTAATTATAGTTTTGGTTAACTTTATTTGCTAGCTATCTATTGCATGTTATTTTAATTCTTCTTCTATATAAAATATATATATATAAATTGTATATATATCTATATAAAAAACCTTTGCCATGTCCGGTGAGGCAGTGAGCATAAATTCAACTTCTGATTTGATTTTCTTATGTGCACCTATCCACTGCTTTAGACAATACTTATTTAACTTTATTCTAATTATTTAAATAATAAGATCTATAATATACAAACCATATTACTTGTTTAATGCAAGGAGGTTTTTTTCATCCAGTGAGTCTAAGATTAAAATCATTACAATTAGAAGAGAGAATTTGTCAAAGCATTAAGTCATGAATATGTTTGTCATATATTCCCATCCAAATATTTTACCTTTTAAAGTTGTTATTTTTATTTTAGTCTCATTATTACATTTATTATTTTGTGTTTTGTGAAACATCTTCTGGAACTGTTGAAGTATTGCATCAATAAAGTTACAAACAACATATAACATTAAGCACTTTAGTTAATTAGCTTTACGTAAAGCATAAATTCAGATTATTGTTATTATTATTGTTATTATTAATGATTAGTTTTAAAACTAATTTTATATTATTACATTACATTATTATACAATATTCTTCTTTCAGTTATCAGTAGTCTTGGTTAAACTATTACTAGTAAAGGAGGTATTATATAGATTATATAATATATTATAATATATCTGTTATATAGATTATATAATAGATATATTATAGATATTGTCTAAATTTTAATCAGTGTAAAAACATAATGTCTCATCAGACTGAAATTTTTGTTTTACCGAAAACAAAATCATTCATGTCTTAATCATTTCAATTAAAGAGTTTTAACAACTTAAGGCCATTTTGAGGCTTCGTCCCATCAGACTCAGAGGAAACGTCCGGGACACAAAAGCCAAGTCGGACATTGCCGCCACCGCCGTCATTACCATGACAAAGCCCGGACAAACTCTCATCACCCCACGGGCTCCTGTATCACATGTCATATGATACGAGATACTTGCATTCATCAGAAGAGGATGTGTGAATATGAGACGGGGGGAAAATGTTTTTCCTGCGGGTGACGACTGGGCGGGATGCACAAACACGACGGCATCTGAAGCTGGTCCAGGAAGAGAACGACGACGCAAAATTTTACAAAACATCTATGCAAAAATGGATCTAAAAGAGAAGCTAATTGTAATGATGGGTTGCAAGAAGGCGGAAAAAAATTAATTTGATGCAAGAAATTAAGCAAATAAAAGAAACAAATGGCAAGAGTACAGAGAAAAGTGTAAAAAATAAAACAAATGTAAGGACGACAAAAAGATGAACTGGAATTAAAATAATCAAAGGAAAGCTCAAGACAATAGCAAAAACTACAGGTGAAGAGAAAAGTTGGACAAGATAAAGAAAAAATAAGGAATGTAAAAAAAATCTGGTGATTAAAAACTACAAATTAGAGAAATTTACAATTAATAGAAGAAAATAGTTAAAATTAAAATGAGGAAAATAGGACCAAAAAAACTAGATAAGTTAAAAAACAAAATGGGAAAAAGGCATAATATAGAATGAAAAGGAATGAAAAGGAAGACAGCATGAAATAAAAACAAGACAAAACAAGGAAAGAAAAGAGGAGAGAAAATGGAAAACAGAAATATAACAATCAAAAAAAGAGAAAATGTGTAGAACAGCAAAGATGAAGAGAACAGAAAGAAAGAACTGAAAACAGAACTGATGGCGAGCAGAAAAAGGAGAAGATGGAAAAAGGGTTAAAATGTGAACAAAAGAAGAACAAAGGAGACGAGAAGAAAGAAGTGAAGCTGAGTGAAGAGCACACTGAACACCGGCACCAGACAGAAGGTGTTGATGACACGGCGATGACACACTGCTGTCCTATTGGTCCATCCGAGGCTCCACAGGTGTCTCCTGAGCGCGACCTCTGATGACCCCTCCGCCTGTCAATCATCTCCTCAGAGAAAGGAGGCATTGTCTTTATAACTCTGTGTGTGTGTGTGTACTGACTGATGTGGTTGATAACGAACAGCGAGGAGTCATCTGCATAATGACGTAGAAAAAATCATCATATTCAAGATTTGGTCTTCTTCTTTCCTTTTTCCTCTTTCCTTTCTTTTTCTTTTCTCCCTCCTGACATTTCCTGATCCCTCCTGTCTCTACAAGTTCCCTGTGTGCTCTTCTTCCCTTTCTCATATTTTCTCCCTTTCACTCCTCTTTCACTTCACCTTGTTTAATCTCATTTGCTTCCTAACTTACTTTCCTCTCATCTTTTCTCCTGTCCTATCTTTCTTACATTCATCTCCTCTTCTTGATTCCTCTCTGTCCTACTTTTCATGCTCTTCTCTTTTTTCCTTTCATCCCTATACATTCTTTTTATATCTTTTCTCAACTGTCTAATCTTCTTCCTTCTCTTTTGTTTCATCCTCACCTCATTGCACATTTCTTATTATTTCCTTTCCTGTCCTTTTCATCTTCTCTTCCCTCCATCTCATCTCATCTCATCTCATC